TATACAACCAAACACTGGTTGAACAAATACAACCAAACACTGGTTGAACAAATACAACCAAACACTGGTTGAACAAATACAACCAAACACTGGTTGGAGATATACAACCAAACACTGGTTGAACAAATACAACCAAACACTGGTTGGAGATATATAACCAAACACTGGTTGGAGATATACAACCAAGCACTGGTTGAACAAATACAACCAAACACTGGTTGGAGATATACAACCAAACACTGGTTGGAGATATACAACCAAGCACTGGTTGAACAAATACAACCAAACACTGGTTGGATATATAACCAAACACTGGTTGGAGATATACAACCAAACACTGGTTGGAGATATATAACCAAACACTGGTTGGAGATATATAACCAAACACTGGTTGGAGATATACAACCAAGCACTGGTTGAACAAATACAACCAAACACTGGTTGGATATATAACCAAACACTGGTTGGAGATATACAACCAAACACTGGTTGGAGATATATAACCAAACACTGGTTGGAGATATATAACCAAACACTGGTTGGAGATATACAACCAAGCACTGGTTGAACAAATACAACCAAACACTGGTTGGAGATATATAACCAAACACTGGTTGGAGATATACAACCAAGCACTGGTTGAACAAATACAACCAAACACTGGTTGGAGATATATAACCAAACACTGGTTGGAGATATACAACCAAACACTGGTTGGAGATATACAACCAAACACTGGTTGAACAAATACAACCAAACACTGGTTGAACAAATACAACCAAACACTGGTTGGAGATATACAACCAAAAACTGGTTGAACAAATACAACCCTTGGCTATAAAGATTGAAGAAGAGGAGCAATAGAAAATATATGATGGCTTATTATGCTGTTATGAGAAAAGGTACAAATATAAAGTATTTTCATTATATCATTTCTTCGGTTGTATGCTCCTTTATCAATTCATATACAATCAATTCTCTTAAATCATCAGGTTTGAACCCTTTTAAAGACTGATTGATGATTGATCCTCTTAAATTATTCCTTTTCTACCCTTTGCAATATTAAGTGTCTCTTTTCCTCTGAACATTACTGAAGATACCTCTAAACTTGCCAAGCCAATCAGAACCTGATGTCTGTCTCTTATACTCTTCCATTGATGTTAACTTTGTATAATGTGACTTCTAAAGATGGTCTCCGATTGGTCTAATACATAAATCCTAATGATTGGTTAGAGGGTGTTACACTTATAGCAAGAAAGGCCAGGGTACACATTTGGTTCAAACATGTAAAAACATACATGGCGTTCCAAGGGGAATTATAAATACAACATAAAGGAAAAACAGACTGAAGAAATAACATATGAAAATCTCTGTTTTTCTGTTCATTTCAATTCCCAATTTTTGTGCTGACATGACAAGAAAAATGAATGCATAAATCATACATATGCCTTAGTTTCACATTTACATGCTAAAACCTATTATTATAATACCACATTCTAATAGCTAAGGAACTAGGTCAAAATATTGACTTCGATCAAACAACGTATTTTTATGACCTTGGGGTATGACCTTGGGGTAGGCAGTGTAGGCCCTAAGGATATGAAACCTGCTGGTCAAAATGGAAGTATGGACATGTTGCAATGTTATTTTCCTATACCTAGTGAAAAAATCAACTGGTCCGTATCAAAAGTAACCTAGTAATGACCAGCAGACCAGCCCTTGGGAGTGGGGTTTGGGGGGAGAATTGAAATGGGGGAAAAAGAATTGACAATATTTGACAAGTTATTTTTGCTTTGAGATTGGGTAAATTGAGTCAGAAGTTACTCAAAGTGAAGGGAATTTAACATTTCATTGTTTTGGTGAAAATCGCCAACTTTGGGGTCTTATGCAAACTTTTGAATAAAGCATGAATTATCATCAAATGCAGGTGGCCAGAACGCACATACACGTTTCTTCCTTATAAGGAGGTAAAAACCCCTGCAGTTGGAGAATGGGTTAAATGAGAACTGAATTACTCTGTTTGTCAGATGTTGATTTTTTGACCCAATTCCTTAGTAATTTTCACAACATTAACACCACCATTAAATGTGAAACTACAAAATGTGAGATAAAAATGTGAAAAGTAACAGTTTGCTTCACATATTCATTCAGAAACTACAAAATGTGAAAAATAACACATCCATCTGTAATATCACTGAATTACTAAATGTGAAAAATAACACCCTGCGTCACATATTTCTTACACTGCAGTATATTTCTAATTTAATACATCATAACATAATACATTTTCAATGAAAATTACTGCATTAAATTAAGGTAGGCTGTAGAAAACCTTTGAATCTTTTTACATGTAGGCTTTCCCAGATACAGATCCAAAGGTAATATACCTCACCTACCTTAACAGCCCTCTCAAAAATGAAATGAGGGTGCAATTATTTAACTAAAATCACCAAAATGGAAGTTAATGAAGAATGAGATGCTAAATTTTGTATCAATTTACATTCATAATATCATCAAAAATGGTCAACTCCCTCTAACGAGTTCCCTCTTGTATCCTTTGCAAGAGCCTAACTTCTTCCTAACTCTTAAATAAGATATAATTCTTCAACTAGTCTATATCCAATCAATACGCACCAGTCAACAAATCATAACAATATATTTTCTGCTCATAACTAACTAGCAAGGAGGATTGGATCCTGGGGTTTCATCACAATATTTTCAATCTCCAAGCAATTTATTCTGTACTGATAAGACAAACAAAGAAAAACAAAGAATGCATGAATGGGCTCCAAGAAGAATATTCTGCTGATATTCAAGCAATATCGACAACAATGAAAACTTTGTTATTGTGTGACATTATAACTGGCTATAAATTCATAATCAGCGATCCAACAAAAGATATTAACTAATATCTTCATCACTTCTGTTGGGGTTTTGAATTTTTTTTTTTGGAAAAAACAAGATCTGCTATTCAAATTCTGAAATGAAAAAATGGCGGCTGTTTGATTTTTGTAATCATGAGTCACATGACTCTGGGTGATAATAAGGTCAAGGTCATGACACCATATATGGCAGAATATCATGTTGGAACCCTGGGAGTCAATCCTCCTTGTATTACTAGCTAACATAATCACTTCACATTCAAGCTCCCATTAAGATGCATTTAAAGATTGGTAATTAATGATTTGCAAATTCAGCTATAAAATTTTCTAAACATTTCCTCGTACCATATTCTCTGTAATTAGCACCCATGGCATTTAGAAAATTCAAAATACCTTTTTCAGACCATTGTTATAGCCGCTTGGTCATTCCTCAACATTTAGGGGGTGGGCGCTAAATATGGAGATTACGGTAATCATTAACTGTATAATTGCTCCTTTTCACGATTTGCAAATTCCACTACTAATCATTCTCTCAAAGTCCTCTCAAAACTTTGAAACATAGACACCAGAAAATATCCATGATGTCAAACTAAAATACAGAATCTTTTCAGTTGTGAGACTGGTATGTGTTAAAGAGGGGCCAACTTATATAGAGTTAAAGAGGGGCCAACTTATATAGAGTATATGTTCAACTAATAACTGCATTATATAAAATACGTATGGCAATAATTCATTATATAATCATAGATGGTAGCACTCAACAACATCAATGTGAAATTACACCCATCCCCATCCCAATCCCCACCCTCCCCCATCCCCCAATAGCACTAATAAGAAATAGTGACATTTGACAAAACTTTTGTTGGCAGAAGTTGAGGAATAATTAGAAACAACAACTTTAGGATCATTGTAGATTGACTCCTCACATAGGCATAGCCAGGGGGGGGGGGGGGTTCGATGGGTGCAACCCCCAAACACCAATAAAAATAGAACCATTAGATAGAAGAAAAGAGCTTTAAAATGCTTTTTATTTGAAGGAAGTTATATCAATTATTGTAAAATTCAAAACAAAATTTTTTTGAGCTTGTTTATGCAACGATGGCACCCATCCCCGACTGAAAATCGAAAAAATTGGTGATTGCACCCCCCAGACTGAGAGCTGGCTACGCCCGTGCCTCATGTATAATTTTCACCTATTATGACATCTATATGTGACATCCATACACCTTATTTGCTATTTGGTGTTCTATCAGAATTTCTTATTCCAACACAATGATGTTGTAAAGTGCTAATTAATCTTAAAACAAAATGGGACCAAAAAGCAATTTGGTGTATTTTCATATATGTATAGTTTAATATACTCATGAAGGTCATCTTTTAAAATGCCAATAAAGTGGAAATTATGAAATCTGTGAGGAATACGTAAGACTGACGCTATAATGTGAATTGTTAAAAGTACCCCATATATGGACCTATCCCATGGACACCATGTGACCCAATACCAACTCTGAACTTTGGGAAATCTCTCCCCTGCTTGTACATCAAATTTTCTACAGTATAATTTAAAATGTTGATAACATGCGCATGTCTGTTTCAATATTTCATGATTTCCAACTTAATTTTGCATTTTAAACTATGACCTCCTAACATTTCTCTTGCAGATTTGTCCATAAAAATCATAGTCTCCTTGTCTCTATATTCCTGAATAATAAACCTGAAGTAACTATGACAACCATGCATGTTTGGATGAACTCTGACCTTGGATTGAGCCAATCACGTTGATGTATTTCTAGGTCAAGGTCACAGCATGATGATGAGTTCAGTGCAGGATAAAACTGACGCAACAATTAGGATAACAATGTTGCTCATTTTTACTAAAAGTATCTGTTAGATCTATAAGGAACAAATACATATTCCTCTATAAGTTTAGATGGAATTTTTTAAACGTGAAACTAAAGTAGAGATCTTTTTTATCGCTATCACGTTTCATTGTACAGACCTTTAGGAAATGGCGACTGTAAAATAATCTTAGTAAAACAAACGAAACAATTGTTTCAGGAAAATTTTAATGTACGGCCAACTGCAATTATTAGCCAGGTTTGTAATCAATGAAATAGCCTACACCCCCAAAATGCAATCTGATTTTCGACACCGTTTTGGTGCCAAATTTCGGTGATGTTTCGGCACCAAATGGACTGACTTGTCCGGTGCCAAATTTTGGTGTCGAAAGGTTTTGGTGCCAGAACGGTGCCGAAACAGTGCTTGAACAGCGCCAATTTTTTTTTATGCCGAAACGGTGCCCAATTATATTGGGTGTGTATAGCCAAGTATTAAAAAAACAAACCAAATTCTTCACATTTAAATCAAGATTGAATCTGAATTCTTGCAGCTTCTTAATATGTAAATAAAATGACTTTGCTTTACTCTTTTTTTTTGTTTTGTTCATCGGTAATCATGAACAGAAAATCAGTTAAATTTACAAAATTTGAAAAAGTGACAGTAGCATTTAGTATCAAAACGCAAACTTTGATCAGTCGATAATCAAAAAAAATTACCTTCATGGCACAAGTTACAACAATTCTTGGCATAATTCAAAAATCTAAACATTTATACCATCAAAAAAATAAAATACCTGCTCTAACAAAAGAAGAAAAATTATCTTACTCAAACCTAGTGAGTAAAAACCCCAGATATTTTACTCAACAGAATTCTTAAAATATTGACAACAGATCCAATTGAAAAAGTCGCCATTTCCCAAAGACTGTACAAATCCTCATCACACGTGTCCATTCATATGGCTCGAGTGGCCATTTTGTTTACTATTGCAGTGGTCCACGTAGCTTATAGTTATTTTTTCGCTACGATATCTAGTTAGACGGATGGATTTTCTCACTTCTTGCGTTATGGGGGCTTTGTAACCCCCTTTACGTAAAAGTGAATCAATTGTTTGTATTCTATCCCAGTCTGAAATAAAAACAAAAAATAAATCGTCATTTAGATTAGCCCACTGTCACTAGATTGTTAGAGAACTAGAGAATTACCATATTCTCTCCAATAAACGCACACCCATCTTTTGTATCAGGTCAAAAAGTCCTGTCCAGTTAATATATGATATGATTTTTCATAAAAAAATTTCCAATGACTAAAAATCCATTTTCTAAATTTTAGAAACTAAGTACTAAAATAACATAATAAAAGCTGATATATATTTTGATTAATTTAATTTAATTAATTAGTGTTAATTTGTCTATGTTGTAAAATATTTTAAACATTTCTTTGTTATCAACAGAAAAACAACTATAAGGAATATTTCGTCAAAATAGTTCTTAGGATCAACTTACAGATAATTCAAAATGTCACAATTAATGGACAAGGAATTGTTTGTTTGTTTGTTATTTTGTTCATACCTTGTTCAGGGGCAACTTCAGGCAGGTATGTAGCAGTTTTCTTGTGACCTTTCTCATTAAGAAATTCTATTCGTATACCATGGGTGCCTACCTAGAATTAAAGAAAGAATATACAATGAATTTATATGGTAAATAATGACAAAAACTGAAATTCTTTTCGTAAACCATGGGTGGCTACCTAGAATAAAGGAAGAATATACAATGAATTTACATGTATATGGTAAATAATGACAAAAACTGAAATTATTTTTGTAAACCATGGGTGGCTTCTTAGAATAAAGGAAGAATATACAATGAATTTATATGGTAAATAATGACAAAAACTGAAATTCTCTTTGTATACCATGGGTGCCTACCTAGAATTAAAGGAAGAATATGCAATCGATTATTCAGTTTACAGATATACTTTTGAACTTGTTTTTTGAGTGATTTGGTATGAAGATAGACAGATCATGATTCCTCAGACTATCAAAGGCATGGATACTACACATACATACGGCTGTTTCACATGATGAACTCAATTTGAGGGTTGTTTTTCTTGTCACCCCATACCTAGACAGATCATGATTTCTCAGACTATCAAAGGCAAAGGTACTACAGATGCATACGGCTGTTTCACATGATGAAAATAATTTGAAGGCTGTTTTTTCTTGTCACCCCATACCAAGACAGATCATGATTTATCAGACTATCAAAGGCATGGATACTACAGGTGCATACGGCTGTTTCACATAATGAACTCAATTTGAGGGCTCTCAGGTTTTTTCTTGTTGACAAAAGCTGACAAAATTATTAATCTTTGAGATAATATGTACAGGATGGTACAAAACATATTTCTTCAAGAACAATATTAATTGTAAAATGTATTGAGCACTTGCAAATTTCTACCCCAGTATAGAGACGGCACTGGGGTTTAGAAGAAATTGTCCAGGGGGAAATTGTCCAGGGGGAAAATGTCCAGGGGGAAAATGTCCAGGGGGAAATTGTCCAGGGGGAAAATGTCCAGGGGGAAATTGTCCAGGGGGAAAATGTCCAGGGGGAAATTGTCCAGGGGGAAAATGTCCAGGGGGAAATTGTCCTTACCTCCCAATCCATAAAGTCCTCCGCTTCTTCAAACTTAGTGAGGATTGAAACTGAGCAATGGAGACGTTGAATCTCATCTCTACCTATAGGACTAAATCTACTATCTTTTGTTGCGCTGAAATGGAATATACACATTTTCAATATTTATATTATTATTTCTATATATGAGAAGGACAGGAGAAATATGCATATTTTCAATATTCATATTATTTCCATATATGAGAAGGACCACAGAAATATTTTCAATATTCATATTATTTCCATATATGAGAAGGACTAGAGAAATATGCATATTTTTCAATATTCATATTATTTCTATATATGAGAAAGACCAGAGGAATATGCATATTTTCAATATTCATATTATTTCCATATATGAGAAGTACCAGAGAAATATGCATATTTTCAATATTCATATTATTTCTATATATGAGAAAGACCAGAGGAATATGCATATTTTCAATATTCATATTATTTCCATATATGAGAAGTACCAGAGAAATATGCATATTTTCAATATTCATATTATACATATATGAGAAGTACCAGAGAAATATGCATATTTTCAATATTCATATTATTTCTATATATGAGAAGGACCAGAGAAATGTGCATATTTTCAATATTCATATTATTTCTATATATGAGAAAGACCAGAGGAATATGCATATTTTCAATATTCATATTATTTCTATATATGAGAAGGACCAGAGAAATATGCATATTTTCAATATTCATATTATTTCCATATATGAGAAGTACCAGAGAAATATGCATATTTTCAATATTCATATTATTTCTATATGAGAAGGACCAGAGAAATATGCATATTTTCAATATTCAAATTATTTCTATATATGAGAAGGACCAGAGAAATATGCATATTTTCAATATTCATATTATTTCTATATATGAGAAGGACCAGAGAAATATGCATATTTTCAATATTCATATTATTTCTATATATGAGAAGGACCAGAGAAATATGCATATTTTCAATATTCATATTATTTCCATATATGAGGAGGACTAGAGAAATATGCATATTTTCAATATTCATATTATTTCTTTATATGAGAAGGACCAGAGAAATATGCATATTTTCAATATTCATATTATTTCTATATATGAGAAGGACCAGAGAAATATGCATATTTTCAATATTCATATTATTTCCATATATGAGAAGTACCAGAGAAATATGCATATTTTCAATATTCATATTATATCTATATATGAGAAGGACCAGAGGAATATGCATATTTTCAATATTCATATTATTTCTATATATGAGAAGGACCAGAGAAATATGCATATTTTCAATATTCATATTATTTCTATATATGAGAAGGACTAGAGAAATATGCATATTTTCAATATTCATATTATTTCCATATATGAGAAGGACCAGAGAAATATACATATTTTTAATATTCATATTATTTCCATATATGAGAAGGACCAGTGAAATATGCATATTTTCAATATTCATATTATTTCCATATATGAGAAGGACTGGAAAAGTAGTATATTTTCAATATTTACTTGTAATCTAATCATATATACCTTGTTATAGCATATTCTTTAAGACCACTGTGTAAATGCATGGGGGAAAATGTCCCCATACAACCCCTGAGTCGTCTGTCCCTGCCAATTTTCCACGTAACGAAAAGCGGACTGAAAATACAGAAAGAAAATAATTAGAAATTACGAGTATAGTAAAATATGTATATCTGAACACCTCTCTAATCCGAACATTTTTCCATATGAACACTTTTCCCAATTTGTTTCCTCCCATTGACTACCATGTTAAAAAATTGAAATGTGAGCCCTGCTAATCAGAACCTTTTTGGCTGGTAAAATTTGTGGGGGATTACATTATAAACAATCCTTTTTACTCCCCTTGTGATTGACATTTTTTAATAAACAGGATTTTCAGGAGAAAACAGGATCTACCTTTTTATCTACAGTTGAATGCTACCCCAAGGCACAGATAATTTCTGGAACTGTGCCTGAGACTGAGTGTAATTTTCCGGTGAGGGATACAGGGACTTTTCACAATGGGCTTATTCTTTATAGATACTGCAGATAATTTCTGGAACTTTGCCTGAGACTGAGAGAGAATGATAGAGGGACTATTCACGAATGGACTTATTCGTCATAGATATTGTAGAAATTCCTGAAGCTGTGCCTGGGACTGAGTGTTTTTTTTCCAGAGAGAAATAGAAGGACTATTCACGAATGGACTTATTACTCATAGATAGTGTAGAAAATTCCTGGAGTTGTGCCTAGGACTGAGTGTCATTTTTCCAGAGAGAGAGAGAGATAGAGAGACTATTCACAATGGGTATATTCCTCATAGATAGTGTCGAAAATTCCTGGAGTTGTGCCTGAGACCGAGTGTGTTATTTTTCCAGAGGTAAAGGGACTATTCACAATACACTTATTCCTCATAGATACTGCAGATAATTTCTGAAGCTGTGCCGGAGACTGAGACTGAGAACTATTTTCCAGTTTAGAGCCTAGTACCATGAATCAGCTGATTAGCACTGGTACTAGTACTAGATTATTTATGCTAATGAATGTTCATGTCAGGTCAACAATTATCCTGGTTAAACTAATCTCCCTTAAATAAAAATGTTTATTAAGGCAGTTCTTCACTTTTTCATTTAAGTTTAAAATAAATAACTGGGATTTTTTATTTTATCAAAATATTTTGAACTACATGTATGTATAATACCAAATAAGATACAGATACACATAAAAATTGGGAAAACATTACCTATTTATATATTTCATTTTTCATAATATTATTTATTATCTTTTCATAGCATAACTGTCATGCAGATCTATCTTAAAACAACAAAGCAAATATAGTGGATTCTATGTATATTTAGAGGTTATGTCACTATGACGTGAAATATGCCTGAGTTCTCCCAATATAGGCCGACCTTGGGAGGCTCTATATTTGGGCAAGAACGAAGGCATATTTCACGTCATAGTGACATAACTGATGTATTACATGCCTTTGTTCCCATGGTTACTTTGTATCAATGACGTGACGTCATGATATTATCATGGTTATTAAAGAAATCTAATATCAAAACGAGGTAAGCGGGCTATATCGGGGTAATCGGGCAATATCGGTGGATATAGCTCGCTAACTTTCCCATTGACTTCCATACAAATGCTTCGCTAGGTATGTAATACTGATTGATATAGAAATCATATGTTCACTAAAAATAAATAATTTTGATTTTTACAAAGAGAATGATCCGTCAATGATCAATTAGATCTACTTCAAGCTAGGTGATATTTCATTAATGGGATATATGGATGGGTCCACCCTTAGGGGTGATAGGCTAATGTTTATATCATGACTATTTATATTATGACTACGACATATACTAATGTTGCTAAAGATATAAAACATGTGCACTAAAGTGGAGATATGTACCATAAATAAACGTCTAACATCAACAATTTAGGCAAAATAACATGTACAGGCAATTGGAAAGTATCCAACAACTGTTAAAGTAGCATCTGAAAAATTACAGAATGAGCTCCTTTTGCAAGTCTACCTTCTTAAAAGAAAGCTTCATGTTCCTAATGTAGTAGGTATGACTTCTGCATAGAATTGCCTCTCTGTAGGGAACACCTACCTCCAGTGAACACAATTTTTGGGTTCTCTTTGTTCAAAAATTCTTTCAAAACCATGCTGTTTTTTAACAATTTTTAGCACTTTTCAAGTGGTTTTGGGCCAAAGTTGTCAAATTGGAGGCCCCTGGAATTTTCTAAAAGTGAAGCAGACTTGGCAAAAGCTGGCTACAAGCTTGAGTATAGAAGGGATAATCCTCTGACTTCAAATAATCATTTATCAATTCAGGCCTGTAGCCAGGGTTCGACGAACCCCCCCCCCCCCCGTCCAAAAATTCTTTCAAAATCATACAGTTTTTCACCATTTTGAGCATTTCTCAAGTGATTATATTTGGGCCAAAATTGTAAAATATGAACCCCCCTGGAATTTTTTGAAAACTGAACCCCCCTTGCCAAATCCTGGCTATGGGCCTGGCATTCAAGCATCCAAATAGTGCTGATGCCACACTTGTGTATCAAACTTTTGAGAAGGGTTTAAATCATTGAAAGGGTTATACCATCTTGTCATTTAGCCTCAATACATTGAATAATAAGGGAGAAACGCAATAACGAACTTGCCTTTAATTAATGCCTTTACAGTATAATGGCTCAATCAATATCAATTTAAGAAAACCAATACTGGATCTGAGCCCAGTATAACTTGCACTCAATAAATCACAGGGATCATGGAGTAGTATGTCCAAATACTAAATCAGGAGAATATATTACGGGGTCAATGTAAAATATAATTGAAAGATGTGGAAAAAGCAATGAATGAATTGAATAGACATGTAGTTAACACTCTAAATTGTATAGAAATATCAGAAAATTAATCACTTCATTCAAATACTACAGAAAAATGAGTGGAAAACGTACAAGCTATTGGAAAAAATAGCATCGGAAAAAGTACAGACAGTGAATTTCCAGACACCAGCATTGAAAATGAGTCAATATGACAAAAACGTATATTGATTAAGAGCTCTGGTAAATGAGCCAGAATGTAAATGATCCCATGCTACCATTGAGACACTATCATGTATTAATTCCAATTCGTATATTTAATCGGATTACTAATTTCCTGATCTCATTAGGGTAACAGATCGGGCTATATTTTGTAGATTATGAACCATTCATTATGTAAGATAAATGTAGGACAGTCTTATCCACAGGCTCAAAAAAAATGGGAGACTCTATATTGGGAATCCTAAAATTAAAGGGGCAACAAGGACTGTAGAGAGAAAATTCGAATTTTTTTATTTTTTCTGAGCTATCAGGTCAATATTTGGCTTAACATCTTCTTTGACATACCTATTTTCTTAAAATGTATGGATAAACTCTCGATCTAAAGCTTCTATAAAGGGAGTCCTACTTATTGATTTTTAAGATTAACCACGTTTCTAGAGGAATATCAGCTGAAATAATGTTCATCCAGAAGGTTTCTCTATAGATAATAAAACTATATGTTAGTCTTGACGAAATATCCAAACTTAAATATACTTTGACACTGGTCAATGATCCTTGAATGACCCCCCCCCCTGCACTAATTGTTGCACCTTTAATGCCTATTTTTAGAACTTTCAGGATTAGTCTAAGTATCTATTATATTTACACCTAATTTTTCATAATAATAATTTCATTTGTTAATTAATAGTTAGGGTATGTAAAGCTCAAATGATAAAAGTGCTACCATTTTGAAATGAGGGAAGTGTTTGAGCTTTTGCACCTTGGTTGCAATACTGAAAAGTGCTACTTTTTGAACAAAAATGATGAGAGTTTACATCATTTTCATGATCATAATTTATAATTTCAAAATATCCAACATTTTTGATATCACATTAAGGTAGAACCTATAGTTCAAAATATCTTAATTGAATTGAATTAAAATGATGTATCCCTTTAAATTGTGTGAAAGTGCATAACCGCCTTAAAGCTGGTCGACAAGTGTAACTGTGACAACACACTTACTAAACCAGGATACAGGAACATGAATCAAGGATGTTTCTTTTACACATCTACTTTGAAACATGGTTGCATGAAATACTATGCGTATATTGGGTAAGAAAATAAAGACATCCTAGTAACAGGATAATCAAGGATGAGGGGGGGGGGGGGGTTAAAAGCATTCATATTTCTGGTGAGAAGATTTATTTATGGTGTTCTTTGATCCAGGCCCATGACAAAGAGTTTTAGTCCAGCTTAGTATAAAAGTCTATTGTGCTGTTTTCCACCTTTTTGAGCAATTTCAAGTGATTTTTGGTTAAAATAGTCAAATTTAAGCACCCTTGCAATTTCAGTTTTTTTAATAACTGATCCCCTTGGCAAACCTATGGCCTGTGTGATCTCAAATTACATTGAGGATAAACCAGGAGTATATGTCATTTCCTATTATTACTTCTGATTTAAACTTGACAGTTTTTGTAATGAAATTAGGGTTATTACGAATAGCCTCCAAGAGTAATAAGCCTAAATGGTAACAAGGAGGGGTCCGCCTGAATCTGGGATGAGGATATGCTCTTCAATTCCATGCTCATACAACATAAATTTATAGATTTCAATGCATTCAGAGATCATTAGTCATGGGTCTCTTGGAAGCCCATGATTAGTTGAACAAAACAAAGCCTCGATAAAGAAATCTTCTCCTTGGGGAGATGATTACAAGGACATTAAATAGACCTATCACCCCTATCAAGTAAAGTGATTGATCCAAAATTGACCCAAAGTGACCCGCTTCAGCGAATTACCAATATTTCATTCAATACACCATCAAAATTGTTCAAACTTGTACCATTCGATTCGTTTGATATCATTTTATCAAGCACACATAAAATATCCTTAAAATCAACACATGATCATTGTTTATCAGTGCGTTTTTGAGAGACAAAGAAAATAAATATGAGAAACTTACAAAGCCTCGTTCGTGAAGTTCGGTTGCTTAGGCAGCTCGTATCCGTTCAAATGACAGTATATAACGTCAAAACAGAAACCAACCATCTCAGGACGGATGGTTAAATCGTTCCGGAATCCATTACCTGGATGAATCGCCCCATTACAGCAGGTAGAGGGCAAAGAATTGTTCAATTTTTGTTTTTTTACTCCACAACAACCAGCTGCCATTTTTGCAAGTCTCGTTATTTCTCCTTAGTTGCGAGACTTCTAAATGGCACCACAGTTTCGATGTTCGGTATTTTTTTAAAAATTAAATATAAACAGTTTAGGCATAGATTTCTCATCTTTTAACGTGTATGATTCAAAAACAATATAATTGCCGTTTGGTTGATCCTTTGATATCCATTTGAACATAATGATGCAAAGAAATTGTAGCTTAGTTTCTAAGACGCCCTATCGTTCGGTTTTTAAATGACGTCATTATTGACCTTCATAATTTTTCTAAAATAATCCAAAATATTACGGAAATATCGTTTTATCTAGATGATGGTGAGGATCTGAAGCAGAATTACATGCAGTATGAATGCCATGACACTACATCTAACCGTCAGTCGCCAAATATTGCTTGCAAACCCCAACGATTCGCAGACATGGACTGATCTGGTGAAGTATCTTCCAATTTTGAGGAATTCTTTGTCGTGTTACGTTTGTTATAAGATTCTGCACTTACCACACGGCCCACTAGATGCATCTTGTCAGCATCATGTCTGTAAAGAATGCGTTGGTGGGAAAATGCGGCTTAAGCCACAATGCAGTTGGTGTAAGGACTACAGAAGTTTTTGTGAAAAACCGCAAATGCGTGTTATGGTTCAATGTTTCAAAAGACTTTGTGAGTACATTGCTAGCTCGAGGTTAGGACAAAGTCTTGCAAATCATGCAGCATCTAATACAAATAACGGAGGGCCACAAAATTTAATGGCAGTCATTCAGCAAGGTATCGCCATCCCTGAAGAAGCGGATATCGTCAATAGAGATTTGACGTCATTAATGACAGTGCCATCAAAATATCAGACGCCACACAGTTCACCAAAAGCAGCCCCAGATAACGTAATAAAAAAAAAGTTACAAAATCAACGCACACACAATATGTAACAACTGATTTTGAAGAGCCAGAAATTAAAACTGAAACAACAAATGATGTAAATGTGGACACTGTTGATGAAAAAGATACAAAAATAGAAGCAGGACCCGATGCAAATATTTTACCAGTTTATGTTTGTTCTGAAACTCAGACGGAAAGTATTTTGATTTTACCTGAACGTTCGAGCCTGATTCAGGAAGTACCGATAGTAACATTAGATAGTAGTCTATCATCAAGTATGTCAACACAAGACTCAACTAGTGTGTCAAATAGCATATCAAAGGGTGGTGCATCAAGTGGGGTGTCACCTGGTGTTTCACCCAGTGTTTCACCTGGTATGTCAAGTAGCATGTCATCGAATTTAGCCTCTGACATATTAGTTGACAGCATGCCATCAATGTACACTGTATCCATGCCCAATCAAGATACACCAACATTGAAAATTAAACGAAAAAATCCAAGCGGGACGACAACGCAGAAAAGAAAAATGCCGAAATTAACTCCAGAAATATCCCAAACACCTCCACCCTTACTAAAAATGGAAAAAGGAAAGGGGAAGAAAAAACAAACAAAAAATAGTACCCCTAAAAAGCAACCAGCTAAACCCAAAGAGAAATCAGAGCGTAAAGGATGTAGATGCGGAACGGCAACTCCAACCCCAGGTCAACTAACCTGTTGCGGGCAGCGATGTCCTTGTTATACTTCTTATAAAGCTTGTTTAGACTGTCGCTGCCGGGGGTGTCGGAATCCACGCATGGGGGGCATCATCCCTCCCCCCTCAGATATGCCAGAGACAACCCTCAATGTTGGGTATCCCCTGCTACTAGCCCCACCCCCAACTGTACTTATTCCAGAACAAATACACATTAAAGCTGAAAACCGAATAGATAGTGGTGATGATAGTGATATCAATATAGATGTACTAGTCTAGTTCAATATATTTTACTACTGTTGCTCTTCTTAATTTGGTGCAATTTAATTTGGGGGTGTTTGGTAAAATCGGCAAAGATTTAATTTGACGAATTTAGCAAGAATAAATAGTTGCCCGTGAAAATGGCAAATTTGACAGGAGAAAGTGTGTTGCTTAGTCAATGTAAAGTCAAGGATCATATTTTGACATTGTCACAAAATGAAGACACATTATTTGTATTTATTTATTTCTGGATTTTTTCTGTAAAATTGGGAAGACATGAATTGGCGAATTATAATCACCAAATTAAAAATGCTGCCAAATTGAGTAGAGTTATAGTATGATAAACTTCAATGTAAAAGTTTCTGAATTGACTTCAAACAGAAAGCATGAAAACATAAGTACTTTGGGTATCATCCCCTGAGTCGCAGATCATTGATAAATGTGTCTACAGGCTCCTTCCTTGTTCATATATAATTAATATAATCTAGGGATTTACTTTAATGTATGTGCTGACATGTTAATATGTCAAAATATGAACATGTCAATATTATGAACATTTTGATATGTGAACATGTCGATATTATGAACATCTTGATATGTGAACATGTCAATATTATGAACATCTTGATATGTGAACATGTCAATGTTATGAACATTTTGATATGTGAACATGTCAAATTATTAACATGTCAATGTGTCAACACCTAAATATTTGAACATGTCAATGGGTCAACACCTCAATATATGAACATGTCAATGTGTCAACACCTCAATATATTTCAGTTCCTTTGTCTCGATATTCAGATATTCTGAATTCAAATTCTAATATGTAAGATATCAATTTGTAAATGTGCTTTCAATTTGAACAATTAGAGAGTCAAAGCAGTGTTCACAACAGACATGATAGACAGGCTCATCTTTTGCGAGCTAATTACCACGCACATAATAGGGTATAAGTGTGTAAGTTGTTATTGAATTTTATATTTATTTATCATTGTCACCCTATGTAATGAAATCATAAATTTTACAAAAAATATTACTTTCATAATCTTGTATATAGAGCACTATTCTGTATAATGTACATTTACGAATTGGATATTTTGTATTGGGGGGGGGGGGGGGTTGTTACACCAGAAAGGGGTCATTTCATAAAGTCAGGAATTATAAATCAATTTCTTACTATGATTTCATGATTAGAATCCATGGTTACAATAACTGATTTCATAAAATGAAAGTTTCAGAAATGGCCCTTAGACTCACTGAAAGGGCCATAAATTGTACATTTTTAAATTAGTTCAAAATGTAATGACATTTGTAAGCATTGTGTTTTCACTTTTCACCATGAATTCTGTACTCTCTTCTTAATTTGGCACTACTTATTTTGGCAGGTCTGCCGTTTTCAACATTTGGAGGCTAATCAATTTGGCGGACTTACAACATGTACAATAGTACATTGTATCTATGGCTCTTATTTACATATCACTAAAATTGCTTGAGAATTTGGCGGATCCACCAAATTAATTTGGGCGCCAAATTAAGATGAAGTACAGTATTATGAAAAGGTCTGTTGTGCAAGATAGGCCTAATTATGTTCATACTTACAAAGTACAATCGTTGTTTAAGATGTCTTGCAAATCCTCATAGAATCACATGTTACTTTTCAAATATGGACTCCTCCTTCCCCACATTGTCTCCATCTTTCAGTTTTGCACTAACACTGAAAGAGTACAACAAGAATATGGAGAATATTTTGTTTACAAAATGTATGAAAAATGAGAAAATTCAGTGACCTACTTTTTAAAGTGAATCAATAGGTCACTTTATTTTCCCATTTTTATACCTCTGTCTTAAAAACTCTTCTTTTCTAAATACCTTAGTGCACTCTGTGCAAATGTGAAAGATGTAGGTAATATTAAATGAGTTATGTATTTCTAAAAATAACATGTGACTCCAATGAGGACTGCATGAAAATTCTTATTTGTAAAGATTTACATGATTAAGGTGTATATTTGTGTTAAGATTACACTATAAGTGTATATGTTAATAATATTTTAGTAGAAATCCAATTGTTTTGTTGAAGTGTATGTGGATTTATTTTGATATTGTATGTCACAAATACTGTAATCTTGTTTAATTTGAAAAAATTTGTTATTTTACATTAAAGGCAGAATCAGATCTCTGGGGGTGAAAAAATTACAAGCAATGTGTACAATTGACCTACCAATCTAGTCCTTACAATCTCAAATACAAAATCTCCCAAAAGATTCACGTTGTGTTACAAATTAGTGAAGTTATAATTGATTCAAAGTGCAAAGATGAATGAAAAATGTTGAAATTCTCCCAAATACTAGTAAAAAGAATGGTAACCATTCTTATAGAAAAATAATACAGTATTGTAAATATCTTTAGCTTTCCTGACATAAAGTATGCACTTTGGTGATTTTAAGAAAATAGACATGATAAGAAATGACATGAGCCAGAAATATTCTAAAATTGAAACAATTTTTTGTTTGGCTGCTTGCTAGATCTGATTCTCTCTTTAACTGGTATAGTTTTTATGTCACCGCCACATGTGGACATATTGTTATTGGCCTAGTCTCCAACTTTTTTGTTGTGGCGGTTAATGTTGTCGGTTGGCATCTGTAACAAATGGCAGGTAGTGACATTTTGCATGTTTTTTTGCATTTGACTTGTCAAATTCAGTAATTTGTCTTGGTATTTTACCATTTTTACTTCAGTATTTAATTTGGCAAACATTTCTTGTTGAAACAAAATTGCAGAATTGATGATTCTTTTTTAAAATACTGGAGAAATATTTGTCAACTGTCTAAGTTTTGCTTAATTAAGACTTGGCCAAATTAAGAATAAATACCAAGACATGGGCAAATTAAAATTCGGCTAAGTAAATACCAAGACTTGGGCAAATTAAGATCAAGACTTGGCCGAATTAAGACTTGGTCGATTTAAGACTTGGTCAAATTAAGACTTGGTCGATTTAAGACTTGGTCAAATTAAAACTTGGCCAAATTAAAAAACTTGGTCAAATTAAGACTTGGCCAAATTAATCATGGTTACAGTATATATTTATTACTTAAGGTTGTTGATTTAATATGAATGCATAATGAAGATGGATGATAATGTTGAATAAAGGTGATAAAAGTGAATATTACAAGATGATAATCATGATAATGAAAATACATGTATGTGTAAAACAGAAATCTAATGTTATGTTATGGAAAAATTGTCCAAAGGACCAGATTTAGTATGACAAGTGATTTTCGACAGTCATATCTTTCACCATGAGTAATTTCTGGCCATAAACCGATAAATACAATGGTTTCTATGACATGTATGAAAACAATTAGTGAGACTTTCTTGTTCATTACTGGGCTTATTTTTAATATAAGGGCAAATTATTAAGAAAATGGGCCTAAAATTTTGACCAACTTTTTATTCTTAAAATATGGCCCCCACCTTGTGGGTTTCCAGATCCACCCCTGGTGTATGAGTATTATGGTAATATTCAAACACTTGGCAGTGTTTGTCTTCAACATATGGGAACCTTGCGAACCCTCCCTGGCTACGGGCCTGCGCCATGCAATGAAAGATCGATAGTGTTGCTGCCACTTCTCCTTGATATCGCGTATCAGTAACTCATAACATGAAATATCTATATTAATTTCATCTTACAATTGTATATTTATTTGGACTACAAAACTGATACAATGAAAAAATAATTACAATAAAATGTAATTCACCATAAGTTCTAATTCTTACATAAAGATGGCACAAGTGTAATTCATAAACTGTACATGATCATCCTCTCCTTAGTATAGATATGTACGAGTACAAGAAAGTTTTTCTCATATGGCTCTGTATTATGCTTTATTTTCACGTTTTCATGACAAAACTTGGTGCAAAATAGCTTGAGATTAATGCAACTTCATCTTTCAATTGTTATGACGCCATAACTCATCAAGAATGGACGATCTTGCACAGGTACTCATATAAGAACCTCTATTTCTCATATGACTAACAAAGATACAGCCGTCTTTACCCCATACAAGATATTGCCATCTTTCATCCCAAAAAGTCACACGTGCAAGATGAGATTTACTTATGACATCACTGGTTTATAAACATCAACAACATGTCTACTACATCGTTGTTAGGGGTTAGATGTCGCAAGTAAATCTCATCTTGCACGTGTGACTTTTTAAGATGAAAGATGGCAATATCTTGCATGGGGTAAAGATGGCTGTATCTTGGTTAGTCATATGAGAAAATGTCCTACCATATTTTTATGAACATTTTCTCATATCAATATTTATTCAAAGTCAGGCAGTTCTAGCCAGCACCGGCCTTTTAGCAAGTTAACAGTTATCCGTTCTATCCCCTTTAACCTGAGTTATTTACCCAAATAGTTAACCTTTACTTTTGAGCCACTGTATGATCTATAGGTACACAGAAAGATGTAGTTTTGGCTATTTTTGTTTTTTATCTTTTTAGCAAAGGAGGATTGGCTCCCATAATTCCATTCAATATTTTCTAGGAAAGATACAAAGGAGGTTTGACTTTTCAACATGATATAAAAACAAAATGATATGTAATCTAAAACATCTGTTCTTACTTTGTGATTAATTTTTGTTTATTTTAAACAACAGGATGTCCATAAAGTCTATTCACCCTTACACAGAGGAGGGAAACCCCCATGATTCAATTGATGACATATGATTTCCTCCTTCGTGCACCTCCTTTCCCGGAAGTACACACCCTCCATCTTGGTTTTCAAATTGACCTAGTTTTAAACCAATCAACGATCGACTCGCTTAACCAATCAGTGATGATGTCATCTCAATACAGATTTACATTATAAGCGTATGTCATCTTTGAATCCAGGGGTTTCTCCCCCTCTTCCCTTTACACAGACGAGACTTTACAGGCCATAATGCTGCCACCTTTCTATTGACCTAATATGGTTATACCTGATTTATTTTTAAAATGATTTGAAAGTTAAACTACAAAAAATAACACCTGTCAATGAAGAACAACTTACAGACAGTACATGTTATTGTGCAATGAGAACTAGTTCCTTTACATAGAATTGCTTATTGTGCATTAAGTGCTAGTTTATCGCATCCTACGACCCCTTTAGATTGTGGTCGTAAGGGAATTCCCCTTCCGACATTTTGAAAATTGCTGACATATTTCCGATGTAAAAACTAAAATCTCTTCGTTCTGCCGATAAACCCATACAATTGGCGATCTAACAACATAAAAAGAATTCTAAAATACTCTGGAATGTATCGAGGTAGGTCATTTAATAGTGGAATGCGTAGTTCATTCTCCGACATTGTAGAAAGACAGGCTTACCAATGATACGGGCGTACGACCACAATCTAAAGGGGTTGTAGGATGCGATAAAGTGCTAGTTACAGTACATGTTGTAATAGTTATTGTACATTGAGAACTAGTTACTTTACATAAAACTAGTTATTGTGCATCGGGTGCTAGTTATTGTACATGCAGAACTAGTTACTTTACATGTAGAACTAGTTATTGTGCATTGAGTGATAGTTACTGTACATGTAGTACAAGTATAGACTTTGCCAAATAAATTTTACAATTGTGCATGTGTATTCAATTGTATAAGCCATGTTGTGTAAATAAATTGTTCAATTTTTTAGATGGCACATCACATTGATTTCTCAAAATTGCACTTATCAATGGTAACTGTATTAACCTGGTTTATTTTGGCTATATTTATTTTTCATTGCGATTTTTAAATAACATTTGTAACTTCGTGGTACACAAATTTTCCTTAATGTCATTTTTTTGACAATATATTATATCAATAATATTATATCATTAATATTTTCTCCTGAGATTCTTACAATCATCAAAAAACAATACTTAAACTGGGGGCTGGGTCAATATTTCAATGTCTGTCAAAAAACGTAATTAATTTAGTTAGGTTTTAACCCCTCCCCTTTTTGCCGGACATTGAAATATTGACCTGGCCCCTTATACCATAACAATTTAGTTTTAAAAACTCTTGATGTGTAAATAAGACCCCGTGATCTTTTGAGAAAATTGAGAGTTTGCAAAATCTGGATGACATATCTCAAGTTCTCAAGCAGTTAATCTGAACACATGTTTTAAATTTTTGTATTTCTCTAGATCGTCTTCTTCCGAAATATGGCACAATTATCAGAAAAAATGATTTTAATTTAGTTTGTTATTCCATAGCCTAATGCAAATATTTGTTAATCATTCCCTTCTGTTTATTGAAGATCTTTGTCGAATAGGTATTCGCCAATTCCTGGTCCCGCTTTTTTCAGTTGTGTAATGTAATCGGATAATTCCTTAATGGACTCCACTTGCTCCCCGAGATAGACATCTGGAAATAAATATAAACAATGAAAATACAAACAAGACATTATATTAAAAGAGCTATGCCTCTACAATACTCCCAAATTAAAACAAATCATAATCAAAGTTTGTCCGCTAAGACCAGCATCGCTTTCCACTGGGTCTAGAGAGGTAGGAGCAAGAGAAACTGTGTGAATGAAGATGCACTTAGACAGATTTTGTACAAAGGGGGAACCATCTGGCTCTCATTAGACAAACTCCATATCCTTGGGCTTATGGAAATGCATCAACATATTTTGATACACACTTTCCTCAAAATAAAGTAGGGTAAGTACATTAGTAGGGGGCTACAAACATCTTATCAATAATTTTTATAATCCAATTTTTCGCTCTAAATGAAGGTGAACAATATAAGTCTGGTTGAGCAGTCAACTAATTCTGAGTTCACAATAACAATTTTAAAACTTTGAAAATAGGCTGATTATGCTTAATTTTTATGCTTAATGCCCCACCTAACCGAAACAATTGACACCATAGCAATAGCCATAACAATGGAATTGACGCTAACTCATTGTCTTTGGTCTTGTATAATAGATCAATTCATTCTACATCATCTCTCAAAATGTCAATGTGATTGAATAAAGTATGGAAACGTAAGAGCAATTGGTTAATTACTTTCAGCTTTGTATAAAAAACCTCCTACCCACCTACGTGGGACATGATACAGTCATTGAAGGGTTCAATTTTAAAGATTTTTAAATCTCAAAATAGCTCTAATTATTAACATTTCTACAATTCCGGCTTTATTTTATGACTAGACAGATGACAGATCCATAAATAAAGGCATTGTAATGTGTAATGACCCGAGGACGCTCCTGGGGAATAACTAACAAAAGACCGCGAGCATAGGTCCAATGAGCCAGATAAAGAAATTGAAAAAAGTGTGCTAAATTCGATGCCTGAGTGGGAATCAAACCCAGCTGGGCTGTAGCAGCAACTTGCTATCAAGGGTCGTTACAAATGCATCTATAATTCATCATGAACTAAGATTTAATACACTAAGATTGAACCCTTCAAAGACTGTATCATGTCCAACGTACGTGGGTAGGTGGGTATGAGGTAGGAGGTTTTTTATACAAAGCCTTACTTTCTGATCAGGCCTCGTACATTCAATCAAATGCTCAAATACATAAATTCACAATTTTGGTGAAAGTTTAGACAGTCATATGTTAAATATTTTATCGTAGGAGTCTTATATCATCTATGTTATATAACAGAAAATTCAAGTGGGAATTCCTGGAGGTAAACAGCACATACTGTATACCTCTCACTGACAAATCAAGTTTCTTTTGTCCTTAGATACTAACATTAATAAATGTGTTTAACATAATAACATGTTTGTTACTGGTGTCAGGTGTACATATTAAAACATATTAACTATATTAAGTTTGTTTATTGTTTGCAAAGACCTTCCATTGAATCGTATCATCCATTGGTAATTATACCATTCTTACAGTTTCAGGCACAAATATGATTAACTTTTTGACATTGTTTGTAAACAATGCTGCTGCAAAGTATGACATCATAAATCTAGCTGCAAAGTATATCATAAGTCTAGCTGCAAAGTATGACATCATAAATCTAGCGACAAAGTTTGACATCATAAATCTAGCTGTAAAGTATGACATCATAAATCTAGCTGTAAAGTATGACATCATAAATATAGCTACAAAGTTTGACATCATAAATCTAGCTGTAAAGTATGACATCATAAATCTAGCTGAACAGTATGACATCATAAATATAGCTGCAAAGTATGACATCATAAATATAGCCTGAAAACCTTAGTTTCTGTGTTTTATCAAAATAGGCCAGGATTCATTGGGAAGGTCTTAATATTTACCTAATATACATCTACATGAATGGTAAACTGTAAAACAACATTTTGAAATTTCAGCATGTAATGTAAATTATGAAACATTCATTGATATATAATTCATCATTGAATGAATATGTACAAGCGCCAAAGGGAAAGGACCAACAACATAATCCAGTCAACATTTCACAAGAAAAATGTGAAGGTGATATGTGGAGAAAACTAAAACTGATCCACTGTTCATTGCAGTTCATAAACAGGGATTTTTGTTATGCTTTGAATAGAACAAGTTTGAACAAAAACGGTGCAGTACGAGACTCGTAATCCTTGATTTTCAAACATTCGGTAGGTCAAAAATTCAAATTAACAGTCGAAGTTAGGGCCGCGTGATAACACCAAGGGACATCATACTAAAATAAGATGAAAATTTCAAAATAGATTTGAGACGTCAATTTATCAGACCTTTCTTTCCTAACTATACTCTCCGTTTTTAAGGAATGAGAAAAAATAGAAAGTAAAATGTTGGAACAATCTTTCCCATATGATCCCGATTTTTGAAAAATTATTGAAGATATATTGTCTTTTAAAACTGACTGTTCCATCTTATCCAACTTAGTGGAAGATATTGTAGTGGAGAGGGTGGAAGGGTGCACGGGGCTTTAGCAAGATAATCCACATCTTTAAAACCATGTGTCGCCAAACCTGTAATAATTCAAGTCAGAAGAACCGTTTTTTTTAAATTTTACCTTCAATGAAATCGCCCAAATGTTCATCATGTACACTATCAGCCAATGCATGAAGTTCAAGTAATGATTGATTGACGTTCTTTTCAAGCTCAAGCGCTGCCTGGAGGGCATCGAGCCCAGTACCCCATTCATCTTTCACAGGTTTTTGTACATCTTGAAATACAATACGACCCCCTCTTTTGTTCTGGTATTCCATCAGCTGAAAATAAATTTAAAACATTTCTTCGACATGTGAAAAACAAAAAATTTTGATCTCATGTATAAATGTAGCATGCAAGGTCTCTACACAACTGGACCCTGATGCTAAATCAGGAAACTGGCACTTAGTTTATATTCAATACTATATACACGTTTATTAACCTATAATATGTACACTTAAATCACTCAATTAAGATGATTATCTATTCAAAATGTCTCTAATATATGTAGAAGATATGTCACTGCTATGATATTTCCACTAATAATTCATCAATCAGTATTTATTCCACATCCAATATCCCATAACAACCAGGTTTCACTCACACAAAGGTCACTCAGTGCATATTCCAAGAACTAATCAATATAATGGTAGCAGCCCAAGTTCTTGCTTCTTAAAGTGTTTCTTGCCAATATATGTATACTAACTGAATTATCAATGTGCCTTTTATTCCCAATCAATCACATACCAATAGTCAGTAACTATATGAAAGACTCTAAATTTGTTCGGTAATTGACCACAATTGCCCAGTAACGTCTAGACCAAATCAGCTGCCAGTTATTCCATTCAGTCGCGTACTGAACGTCACATTTCACACTGTTATTATACCTCAAGAATCATTCATAAGCAATTAGAAATTCTGTCCACACACTGGGATATACAATTCTAAATCATGAATTACAAATCCAACAATCATCAAAAGTCGCGGACTTTTCTACCAAAAGTCGCAGACCAGTCGCGGACTTCTACACACAATTATTCAACGAACACTACCAAAATGTCATCAAAACCAATTTCAAACACAAGTCCAAACATTCACACACACTTGGGACGGGAAATTATATTACAAATAACAATAATAGGGCTGTCGCGGACTCTCACCATTCAAAGTACGTGTTGCCACTCCGAGTTACCAATGCCAAAGACAATTCAAATTCCCCGCCTCACTCTTTTATAGAGGAACCAATCACGAACGCATTATTAATGACGTCACGCACCATTGTCAATCTAGAATCACCATTTTTACCACGCTATCGGTATCATACATCGCCGTCATATATATAATTACGATCATAGAGTTCATCTTTAAGTTATTATGTAGAAGATTCCATATTTAATGCGTTGAATCATATTTTAACATCGAAACGTATTGGTCGTCAAGTGAGACTATTTTCGAATGCAATCCAATATGGCGGACGACACTAGGAAATTTCTACGAATTCTCATGTTTCATGTCATAACTTCTTCAAACTACAATCAAACGGCTAGTTCTTCTGCCACAACATAGGGACAATTCAGTTGATTTAAAAGATTCAGCATTCTAAGGTAAAACTTCATATCTTCAACATCATTTCATTAGGGGACTAATATTTTTACAAAATATTTCAGGTTTTGTCTCCTCAGATCATCACATAAACATCAAATCGCTCCCAGGTCAAAGTGTAATTATCTGACCATTCAGTTATGTTTATGTTTATGTATCTTTATTTCCACCTAATATGCAGATGAGTACATAATAATTATAAAGTTAATGTGGCAATATTAAAAATATAAAAATAAAAATATATATATTTACAACGCAAACTGTGTTGATTTAATAGTTTATAGAGCTATAGCTGCAGCTCTTGTTTTTAACATGTGTTTGACACTTAACATTATCTTCACATACATTCTGTAGTCTAATGCTTCATTTTTTCCTAGTAAGACCTCCATTTTTTCAACCATATTATATCCATCAAATATTCTGTCACTTAAAACTGCCAACAAGTCACTCCTACTTTCATGAAGTTCAAGGCAATCTAAGAGAAAATGCCTTGTCGTTTCATTTGTCATCCCACACAGAGGACAAATGGTGTCATAGTTGAGTGGGAAAGCACCTGTTAGCAGTTTTACCATATCCCTACACATCCCTATATATTTACAATTCGATTGACAGATTCTCCACCATACGCATGGTTTTATCGTAACTTGTATCGTTCTATAAACGCTAAGTCTGTTAGATATGTTACATAACAAGTGCCATCTGTCTTCTTCATACTGCATTATGCGTGCTTTAACAATCCGTTTCCATGCACATTTGGGCATCAGGTCATAATTCAAAAAATATTCATCAATATATCGCCATAAATTGTATCTTGTCACAAGGTTCAAAACTGCATTTATTACTGAATAGTTGCTATACAACTTTGAGTGTTCAGAAATTGACTTCCATCTAAAGAACTCAATTATAAAAATCATTTTATACACACATGTGGTTGGTAGATTTAGGATACACCACAGAAACATTAACTTTTTTGTATCTATGACCGCACGAATCCTCGACAAGCCCAGTTGTGCCAAGGAAGCTTCGTTATGCACATTACATGGCAATTGTTGAATACGTTTTGCTATTTTTCTATGTGTCAATTCAAGGGTATCATAATCACATTGTTTCAATGGCAGGATATCCATACCGTATGTCATGGATGGTACCGATATGGACCAATATAAAATAGAGGCCGTCAGTAGATTGTATTCGAAGGAGTCACTGCTGAGAAGCCCCACCCCCGCGTTGATAGCCCTTCTAGCCTTTCCCATTGCATTATCAATATGTTGTTTCAAGTTACCATTTGTATTTAAAATGAGACCCACATGTGTACATTCTCTGACATGATCCATTTTATCTGGTCCAAGGTAAAAACACAAGTCTTTGCGGCCCTGTCTCTCTTTAGTGCAGACCATCAACGTTTCTGACTTCCCAGGGTGGAAGGTGAAACGCCATCGCGTACTGAAACGATATGCTATGTCCAGTAATGTTTGTAAGGACCTTGGGAACACAGCCATGAGGATCAGGTCATCGGCGTATGTGGGTGAGGTTACATTACAGTTGCTTTTTGTTGTGCAATGTGCACTTGTCATGTCAGCAACCCCAAGTTTAACTCTTTGTTACATACATGAAAGCAAATCCATGTCAAAACGTAACGGTTATCTCAACAACAACGATGACAACTAGACGACGACAACAACACACAAATCTCCAACAGATGTTGATGAGTGACCTTGGAATATTTACTCAGTTATTATTCCGCTACTTTCAGATCTCAAAATATTTTTTTCTCTCATGAGCTCATATTTTGCAAAAATGTGAACACTTACCTTTTCTGCATGCTCTCGCTCTTCATCAGAATTTTTCTTGAAATATTTGTGACAGCCAGGAAGAGAAACATCATCTCTATCAAAATAGAATGCCATACATTGGTAGACGTAACTAGCATATAATTCTAAGTTGATCTGCTTGTTGATTGCTGCTTCACAGTCCTGGTGGAAATTCTGTCTACATAGTGAGGTCATATCTTTACTTGAATGGCCCCAAATATCTCAAAAACAAAGAAATAATTAACTTTGTTTTTTCTAAATTTTAATTGATTTCAAATGGCAGAACTTAGAAGAAAACGAAATAAATAGGTCTAAATTAGTTTTCCATTTCAAAATGTCATATGTCTATTCTATTTATATTAGATAAAGTTTATTTAATGATTTTATATCAATATTTACACTCCATAGCTCAAGATTGTTACAAAAGAAAATATTTGGTTTTATTTTCGTTTCTCTTAAAAGTTTTAACGCAATGGCGGAATCAACAAGAAGGTGGGTTAACATTTTTCAGAAAAGAAGTTCAAATATCTTCATAACCTAGCTAAAAACAATCAAACTGTGTAAACGATTTCATAGAAATGTATCAAAGGTATGCGTTTGTCAAGCTTAAAGAAGCAGAATGATGTTTCATTTTTGTCTGTCGATTTTTGTTTATTTTTCAAGTTTCTGCCAATGTTTTTTATGTATACAAGTTGCCGGATAAGTTGTACAAGCTTTTAGTGAGTTAAGCTATCACAATATAATAACAGGCATGTGTAACGACCCCTGGCCTGTGCACATCTGTCGGGGAGTTGAAGTATATTGAGCCAGATACTAGACTCGAAAGGGAGTGTGCTAAATTCAATGCCCAGTGCGGGAATCGAACCCAGGACCTTCCCATCCTTCCACTCTTGAGGCAGACGCTATACTGATTCGTCCAAAGGAAGAAAAAAAATTGTGGAAATGTTATTTCAACATAATTCTAACAACATTACTTTGAATTCCATATTCACCATGACATTCATTTATCTGTATAACATTTTGAAAAATTTTATCCATTTTATCTTCATGGACAACCTGTATTGAAATAGAGCAAAATGTTCCATTGGATTCAGTGTCTTCATTTATGCATCATCGCTCAATTAAACCCATATCTTGGCTTTAAAGCAGTCACTGGTACCTGTTACACTGCTTGGTTGAGTCTAACGAAGCATTTTTGTAACGAAGGGATATATGTCACGATATAGGGTAGAGATTTTTCGGTTTTTATTTTGTGCTACTTTTGGACTTAGAATAAAATCTAAAATGACCAGGCATCAGGGATCAGATTAAAAAAAATAAGAACAGGACTCTTCAAAAGAGATAACGTATAGCATAAAATGGACTCTTTTTCAAAACCAACACAAATGGCGCAAAGTAGCACTTTCCAGAAAATAAACAGAGTCCAGCCTCTCGATAGATTTTCATACCTGTTTTTCAAAACTAACACAAATGTCCAAAAGTAACACTTTTCCTATCAATATATTACAGTTTTTTCAAAACTAACACAAATGGCCAAAAGTAACACTTTTCCAGAAAATAAACAGAATCCAGCCTAACGATAGATATTCATACCTTTTTTCAAATTTAACACAAATGGCGAAAAGTAGCACTTTCCAGAAAATAAACAGAGTTCAGCCTATCGATAGATTTTGATACCTTTTTCCAAAACCAACACAAATGGCGAAAAGTAGCACTTGGCCAGAAAATAAATAGAGTCCAGGCATATCGATAGATTTTCATACCTTTTTTGAAAACCAACACAAATGACCAAAAGTAACACTTTTTCAGACAAGAGTCCAGCCTATCGATAGATTTTGATACCTCTTTTCAAAACCAACACAAATGGCGAAAAGTAACACTTTTTCAGAAAATAAATAGAGTTCAGCCAATCGATAGATTTTGATACCTTTTTTCAAAACCAACACAAATGGCGAAAAGTAACACTTTTTCAGAAAATAAATAGAGTTCAGCCTATCGATAGATTTTGATACCTTTTTTCAAAACCAACACAAATGGCTAAAAGTAACACTTTTTCAGAAAATAAATAGAGTCCAGGCGTATCGATAGATTTTCATACCTTTTTTCACCAACACAAATGGCGAAAAGTAGCACTTTTCCAGAAAATAAACAGAGTCCAGCCTATCGATAGATTTTCTTACCTTTTTCAAAACCAACACAAATGGCCAAAAGTAACACTTTTTCAGAAAATAAATAGAGTTCAGCCTATCGATAGATTTTGATACCTTTTTTCAAAACCAACACAAATGGCTAAAGGTAACACTTTTTCAGAAAATAAACAGAGTCCAGCATATGATAGATTTTCATACCTTTTTTCAAAACCAACACAAATGGCATAAAGTAACACTTTTCCAGAAAATAATCAGAGTTCAGCCCATCGATAGATTTTCATACCTTTTTTCAAAACCAACACAAATGGCGAAAAGTAACACTTTTCAGAAAATAAACAGAGTCCAGCATACGATAGATTTTCATACCTTTTTTCAAAACCAACACAAATGGCGAAAAGTAACCCTTTTCAGAAAATAAACAGAGTCCAGCATACGATAGATTTTTATACCTTTTTTTCAAAACCAACACAAATGGCGAAAAGTAACACTTTTCCGAAAATAAACAGAGACCAGCATACGATAGATTTTCATACCTTTTTTCAAAACCAACACAAATGGCGAAAAGTAACACTTTTCAGAAAATAAACAGAGTCCAGCATATGATAGATTTTCATACCTTTTTTCAAAACCAACACAAATGGCCAAAAGTAACACTTTTCCAGAAAATAATCAGAGTTCAGCCCATCGATAGATTTTCATACCTTTTTTCAAAACCAACACAAATGGCAAAAAGTAACACTTTTCAGAAAATAAACAGAGTCCAGCATACGATAGATTTTCATACCTTTTTTCAAAACCAACACAAATGGCGAAAAGTAACCCTTTTCAGAAAATAAACAGAGTCCAGCATACGATAGATTTTTATACCTTTTTTCAAAACCAACACAAATGGCCAAAAGTAACACTTTTCCGAAAATAAACAGAGACCAGCATACGATAGATTTTCATACCTTTTTTCAAAACCAACACAAATGGCAAAAAGTAGCACTTTCCAGAAAATAAACAGAGTCCAGCATACGATAGATTTTCATACCTTTTTTCAAAACCAACACAAATGGCGAAAAGTAACCCTTTTCAGAAAATAAACAGAGACCAGCATATGATAGATTTTCATACCTTTTTTCAAAACCAACACAAATGGCCAAAAGTAACACTTTTCCAGAAAATAATCAGAGTTCAGCCCATCGATAGATTTTCATACCTTTTTTCAAAACCAACACAAATGGCAAAAAGTAACACTTTTCAGAAAATAAACAGAGTCCAGCATACGATAGATTTTCATACCTTTTTTCAAAACCAACACAAATGGCGAAAAGTAACCCTTTTCAGAAAATAAACAGAGTCCAGCATACAATAGATTTTTATACCTTTTTTCAAAACCAACACAAATGGCCAAAAGTAACACTTTTCCGAAAATAAACAGAGACCAGCATACGATAGATTTTCATACCTTTTTTCAAAACCAACACAAATGGCGAAAAGTAACACTTTTCAGAAAATAAACAGAGTCCAGCATACAATAGATTTTCATACCTTTTTTCAAAACCAACACAAATGGCGAAAAGTAACACTTTTCAGAAAATAAACAGAGTCCAGCATACGATAGATTTTCATACCTTTTTTCAAAACCAACACAAATGCCCAGAAAATAATCAGAGTTCAGCCCATCGATAGATTTCATCCCATTTTTTCAAAACTAACACAAATGGTGAAAAGTAACACTTTCCCAGAAAATAAACAGAGTCCAGCATATGATAGATTTTCATACCTTTTTTCAAACGTAAAGGCTAGAGTACCGACAATTGTCGGTACTCTAGACTCTGATGTGGTGGCATGCTAGAGGACCGACAAATAAATTGTCGGTACGGGAGATATGCTGTGTTTACACGCTAGAGGACCGACAAATATTGATTTTCGAATTTTCTGGTGCATGCGCAATGCGCGGGGGGATATTTCAGATATCATACGGATATTTTGGGAACAAGTGCAAAACCCGGGGAGGGCATTAGCCACGGTTACCCGGGGATTACCAAACCCAGTAAAAAAATGGTAGCCCGGGAACATGGTAGTGAACGTTGGCAACCCAATAAAAAGGAAGGGGCGTTTGCTACCCATTAGATAGAAGAAAATAGCTAGAATGTTTTTTAGAGCTTATCGTATGGTATGAGGTTCCATATCCATCCGCCAAAAGGTATATAGTCCATTTAAAAACCTGTGGTATCGTTCTAAATAACCCATAGTTGGCTTCTAGGTACCTAGCATGCCACTATTTGGTATCAAAATAAAGAGGAGTTCAACTTTCATTTGAATTACGAAAATAGCGATGTAGGTCAAAATAGTTCCGAACGTGAGGATGTTTACTACGCGTTTGCCTGTCATATCAGAATTGAGGAAGTGGTAGCAAACGTGAGTTACAATAAACGGACGCTGATATCTCAAAAAGTAACCTGACTCCCTATAATTTGATGTAGGTCAATCGAACCCCTATATGGACAGGTGCATTTTGATATATAACACTATGGGGGGTAAGCGTTTCATAGTTGGTCACGAACGCCATATGTGCAAAGTATTGTTATGAATTTTCGAAGATTTCAGTCCTTAAATTTTAAGGCTCTTTAGCATTTTGGTAACCAATTTGGCTAGAGAGCCTTAAAGGAATTCTAGGCGACAGAAATGACAAAATATTGTTTCTGGGACGAGATCAAACGACTTTGACTATATTCTATACCCAACCTATTTTGTAATTTAACAACCAGCACAAATATACATACCATATTAGCAGATATCGGACAAATTCATAAAAAATATTTTTTGATCGATAAAATCGCTGATTATTAAACCGGAAGTGTCTTCTCTGAGGTCCGCGAAGAAGATGAAGAAGAAAACATATAAAGATTTCAGTCATTTCAAATTTGCCGTCGATTTGGTTTTAAATGGTTCTAAATTATCTTCGAATGCTTACTATGACTTCTATTAGTACTGTTTTGACTTCCCCACTTCATAAAAAGAAGATTATCACCTTTTACTCGACTCATAAATTTACTTCCGGTCTACCGAGAAAAATAAAAGTTTGAACCTTTTCAATCCTCAGTCAAGATTTGAAAAAAAACTTTTTG